TCAAATAATGGGTGTTATTTGATGCGTTAAAATGAGGTTATAACGGACGAAAACAACGGTAAACCGGACCAGTTAGGAAAATCGGCCGGTTTTGAAGAAAAACAGCCGGTTCCGCATTCAACTAGCCGGTTTTGGTCCCGATTTTTTTTGAAAAGTGTCGTGTTACTTGATGTACCTTAAAATCGATCCTAACTGGAATCCCCACCCCATCGATAGCGATCTAACCGGCCGGTTTTACGAACACTGCTTCCTACCTTCTATATACTCTTACTAACAAACTTGACAAATTAGCTAATGGAAGTATGGCACACGCGTTTTATTGAGCTTTGACATGCAAAGTTTTGTTTTATATTTTACTAATTTATGTTGTAATAAAATAATTAGATGTTTTAAAATTTCAACCATGTTTATAATGAATAATTTATTATTTATAACATTTAATATATGCCAAATTTTAGGATCATATATATAGGTGAGGTTTGTACAAGGCATTGACTTAAAATATCAAAGGTGCACTCAAAAGTATGCTAAAAGATGCAGTTGCGGTGCTGTAAAGCCTTGTCATGGTCAAAAAAATCAATTGTTATTCTTTAATTATGAAATTTAAAACTGAAAAATGTGCTTATTGAGCTGATCCATAACTATTAAGTTTTTTGAAAATTGACGGTCTAGATAATGTGTTACAAGATGCACTATTTTTATATATTGAAATATATATTTTTAATATACATACACCTTGAGGTCAAGATAATAAATCTACAACAAGATGGATAGAGAGAAACACAAAGATGATCATTAACTGAATTAATTTAGACTAAGTGGTAAAAGAAAACCATGGGACTCGATTAGGACATCCTCCATCATTTTCCATGAAGGATGAAAAATCAATCGATCATAGTTACGCGGTGATAGACATTGAAAGTGGCATGGTTTCCGCAATTCCCATATAAAAAAATTGTGAATTGTTCATCTTCATCTCGACCATCATGGACATAAAAGAGAAAAAAATAAAAAAGGATTTAAAAAATGATCCATCCTGCAATATTTTTTTGGATAGTTCATTTCAAGTATTCACAAGTCCTCTAAACCTGCACTATATTTTGAGCTTCAATCTCTACAGTAAAGTGCAAAATAGATCTGCATACCCAACACATAGTTTTTTGGTGCTATAACTCCTTTTTTCTCGATGTGTTTTCATTTTCATTGATTCAAACTGGATATTTTTTATGTACTGGGTTCTTCCAACAGCCAGCCAAACAACATTGTTTTCAAAATCAGGTTTTACATATACTAGAATCTACAAAACCATGTTTTGAGACGTTTCCAGGATTTGCGTATCCAATGCCCCAAACGGGGCATTAGGAATGGCGGGTAATTAATTAGACTAATGACAAGACACACACATAATTATATGTGCACAACTAACCAGATTACTAAATGGCTAGATCCATATTCTCATAGAAAATTAGTTAAAATGCACAGTATACTCCCGGATTATAATGTCTTTTGGCTTATGAATACAAGCTTAGACCTACCGACGCCCTATTGGCTATTGGGGTATCTGAGTGGCCTATCTTAATATATAATTTAAAGGCAACTCCATATAATAGTCATCTACATAAAAAAGTTTCCATATAATAATCAGATACAATAAAAGAGAATTAGACAATAAGATTTGAATAATCAAAAGAGATGGATGATGATAATAGTAGAAGGTTGGAGGTGGGAATCAGGCAAGAGGATGAGGATTCAATGTCAAGCTTTGTGGCCAACAACTAAAGTCCCCAGCCCTTTCTTTTTAAGGCATGATAATTGCTAGAAATACAGGCCATCTATTTGTTTAAGCATAATAGCATTGTAGGGCTGTAGCTTTTAAAAAAGCTCTAACAAAAAAAATTATGGCTGTGGTGTCGAAAAAACTAAAATCGATTATCTCGACCTCTGCAGTTATGAATCTATAATAGCGTAAGATCAAGAAATAGTGTATCTTGTGACATATTATCTGGACTGCATACTTTCAAATGTCTATATGAGCTAAATCTACATCATTTTTGGAGTTGTAAAGTTTATAATCATGGATGGGATATATTATCGTGATTATAAGACTTTTCGGCACTAAAAACTACATCTTTTGACAGAATTTGAGATTTAAAAGAATATAAACCACATTAACAAAACAATGTGTTATATCAAATAAGGATTTACAAGAACCGAAGGAAGAAACAAAGGCCATGTGTGTCATCAGATGAGATGGCAACCAAAAAGCTGGAATTAAGTATAGATATGTTGATGAGAAAATGCCATGCCGTACACGTGTATAATGATTGAAGGGTGCAAACAAACCCTTAAGGTATGGATTTATATAATGCATAATTTAAGAAGCCAAAAGATTTTATATTCTTGGAGGAGTATATTGCCCATTTATCCCTTTGGTAAATATCAATGTAGGAGTAGTTTTAAGACTCTACATTTTAGAGATGTAGCCTCTTCAACCCATAGACTAACCTCACCAAAAAAAGTTCCAAATTCAAATCTCCAAGTAGTAGAAAAAATAATGTCTCAAAATTGAACGAAGACCGTCCAACTTTTAAATGGTGGGATCAAAGTGTTAAAAAAAAAAAAATCATCTCGTGATTTTTAGGCTATTCATTTAAAACAATCATCTAGTGATTTTTAGGCTATTCCCAAAATTCCAGACTGGAAAATTCTTCTAAGTAGGTTTTTTGAGTGAGGGAATAGATATGTAGTGTACTCCCATGGGAGCATAATACGCACTCTCATTTAAGAATGAATAAAGTTGTTGAAGCCACGGGTGATTTATTTACATAAATAATAATTATTTAATGTAAACAATTTTTAATCTTAAATTGGTTTATCCACGTACAAGTGACGAAGATGAGAATATACCGTTTGTCGGGGTTAACGGTGTCACATGGATGGATAAATACGGGGACCAAGCCCAAACCCTAATTCCTTGAAAGTAAGGTGGTTAACAAATGGTGGTTCACACTGGGAATCGTTTATCTGAATTGGAAATTTGGTCTTTACTTACTTGATTTCTTGTTAAATTTGAGAATCGACTGGATTTGATTGGATTTACCTTATTCCACTATGGGATTGGTCAATCGGATTAGTCAAGTCGCCCGATTCCCATCGGTTATATTTTATTTTGTTTTTCCGCACAAATTTAGTTTTTGGAATTGACTCTCACACTGAAGAATTGGTTTGCCAATTTCGATAAGAGATACACCGAATAGAATCATAGTTTTGTAAGAATGGTTTTTTCAACCGGTCTATTTTTTGAAACATTTCTCTAAAGTACATTAACAAACGTGCTATGAAAACATTTTTTTTAGACTTATTGTATAAAAATTATACACCCCATCTCTTTGATTATACCTACTATGACTATACGACTGTCTTGTACAAACGCTACAATCTCATTTGTATATAAACTTTACATGATTAATATGTTTGGAAAATCTAGTAATTCGATTACATTTGATGATTGGGAGTGAGTTCACAATAATATCATATATTAATTATGATATTGACATTGTCGTCGATTTACTCTTGTAATATGCAGTACTCATTAACTAAGAGTGAATAAACCCTAATATTATACATTAATTATGATTTGACAAATACAACTTTTTTAAGCTTGATCTAGCCTTATCAAGATGGCATTTTAAGATACCAATGAGAGATGATTTATTTAACATTCTACCCAATTGTCCATATTCCTACTCAAGATCATGTTTTTCTTTTTCTTTTTTTAATATATATTTTGAAATCAAGACAAAAGATGTGGATAAGCTCTTAAAATTATTCATTTATTGTGATAACTTGATAAACCTCCCTAAAATTTACAATCTATTTAAAATTTAAAATTCATCTATTTTGAGGATGAATTTTCTACTAAGCTTAGGCTCTATGAAAATAAATAAAGCCTCACTTCAAATTCTTGTCTAGAAAGCACTTTTGGCAACAGAAATCTTCATGATGGCTCTAAAATCAATTTTCAATACCAACAATAAAATTTGAAACTCAAAAAATGGTACAACTATTGTGGATCTAGGAACACTTATTTTAGGGTGAAATGGACCATCTAGATAATTTGTTGCAATATTGCATATTTTATAGCTTTGAATCTTTTTTTTTTTTTCACAAATAAAATTCAATCAGTAAAGGTTTTTCAATGCTTGAATTGATTTTTATATGAGTTAAAAGAGGAGGTTTTACTTATTTTTCGATAATGCTTCGCCCTATCAAACCATTTTCCTTTATTAAAGAAACTTGCAGCGGGGATTATTCTCATGTTACATTCTACAAGTACAAAATCCATGAATTTTCGAAGGAGACCGCACGTTAAATAGCATGAGTCCGCGGCTCCCAATTTTGTGATACGCAGCCGACACAAACGGATAAACCCGCACGCGCCAAGTTCGACCGCCAATTACGGCTAGGTCCACGGAGACCGAATATCAGCCATCCGATTGGGCGACGCTTTGTCCGCACCACCGTCGGTGACCACGCCAACCTTAACTATGGTTAGTTAACGAACAAGCTAGAGAGAGAAAGAGGGAGGAGAGAGAAAGCTACAAAGAAAAGGAGGGAAGAGAGAGGAGAGAGAAGGGAAGAGAGAGGAGAGAGAAGGGAAGAGAGAGAGAGGGGGGAGAGGACAAAGAAACGGACGGTAAGAGCGGAGCGAGGAGAGGAATAATAAGAGATGGGAGACGAGAGGAGAGAGTTTAGAGTTTAGAGAGAGAGAGTAAGAATTTAGACTTTTAGAGAGAGAAAGAGTAGGAGGGAGTTTAGATTTTAGAGAGATAGAAGAGTAAAAGTGTAGGCTTTAGAGAGAGAAATAGTAAGAGTCTAGGCTTTAGAGAGAGAAATAGTAAGAGTGTAGGCTTTAGAGAGAGAAATAGTAAGAGTGTAGCCTTTAGAGAGAGAAATAGTAAGACTTCGGAGTTTAGAGAGAGAAAGAGAAAGAGTTAGAGTGTAGAGTTTAGAGAGAGAGAGAGAGAGAGAGAGAGGGGCGTATAATTGATTTTCGTTTGGTGCGCAGACATGTCTCAGGACTGCAAATCTTTGCTATAAAGAGCACGAGACATGCTCTGCAACCCTGCGTTTAATTCATTGCCCCCAGCCATTAAAGACACTCCCAAGCTTTCTTTTCTTTTTTTCAGCTTTTATCCCCTTCATGGTCGATCAGGTTTCATTTACAGAGCAGAGAGCCATCCATGCTTGCTAGACTCGCTAATGGATAAACAAGGACCTGTTCAATTCATGCTATAAATGATCCGCGAGGTTTCGATCAAAGCTCTTGAAAGCTGCAAATTCATGCTTTTTAAAATGGTAAGGATTCAGTCTGCGAGATTTTGATTGGAGCTCTTTGAAACTTGCAAATTCATGCTATGAATGGTTAGGATTGAGCTGTTTATGACTCCATGACCATTTCCTCGTGCAAAATGTGCTTTAAGGATTTTGAGTGACTAAGGTTCTGAATCTCTCTGTGAAGCTCTGTAAAACCAGGTTTCAGGCGTTTTGAGGGCTTCTAAGTTCTCTGATAGAGCTTGTGTATGAAGAAGCAGCAGTTAGTGAAACTACAGTCTTGAATTTGTAAAAGAAGTTTGAAGAGGAAGAAGAAGAAGCAAGCAGTTACAGTTCCATCAATGGATCTGGTTTCGTTGGCAATGAACAGGTAAGAGAGCTTTGATTTATTTGGAGAGCACTTTAATGGATTTTTGGAGCAAAACCCATTATAGAAACACAGTAGAAAAGGAGGGATTCCAATTCCAAGAGTGAGCAAAGGAACTTGCAGAAGGAGAAACATTCATGGTGGTGCTAAAGGACCAGTTCTCTGAGGTGAGTGCCATTGAAAACAACTGAGATAAGTTTTTTATGTGCAAAAACTCTATATAAAGTGCATAAGAAGCGAGTGTGAAGCTATATTTGCAAACTTTTTTCCGGAGATTGAATCAAAATTTGCAGAAACACTTCGTTTGTAACTATTTTTAAAATTTGGAAATATATTTGGAGTCTTGCAAATACTGAAGCTGAATTCTCGAGCAGAATTGTGAGCAAGAGACAAGCTGTAGTTGCATAAACATTGAGAAGGAGGAGTTCACAGGGCTCTGAATCTAGAGACATTCAAGTCTAAATGCTATAAGGGCCTCTTGTATAATGGCATCAAACCTTGAAATGGAGGAGCCTAGTATAGACACTGATAAGCTCAGCTATGAAATCTTCTCCATCCTCGAGAGCAAGTTCCTCTTTGGCTACGACGATCAAAAGCTATGGATCCCAAAGGACATCGTCGAGACCAGCCCTGCAAAAACCGAGCAAGAACCAGCAACAGCCATTAAAAGCCAGAGAGGAAAGGTGTGCGTGCTCAGTATAGATGGTTGTGGAATGAGAGGGATCATTCCTGGTAAAGCCCTGGCTTATCTTGAGCAAGCGATCAAGAACAAGAGCGGTGACCCAGATGCTAGAATCGCCGATTACTTTGATGTAGCAGCTGGGTCGAGCATCGGCGGCCTCTTCACTGCAATGCTCTTCACTCGAGGGAAGAACAATCGCCCTCTCTTTCGAGCTGACGAGACATGGCGATTCTTAGTGGAGAAAGGGGAGAGAATGTTTGGGTTTGGAGGTGGGTTTCTCAAGAAGCTTTTCAAAGGGGGCACAGCCTCTGCAACTGCAGGAATTGAACGGATTGCGAAGGAGATGTTCTCAGAGGAGGGTCGAAATCTAACACTAAAGGATACTCTCAAACCTGTTCTTGTGCCCTGTTATGATCTATCAAGCTCAGCTCCTTTTCTTTTCTCGAGAGCTGATGCTTTGGAGACAAGTAGCTTCGATTTCAATTTGTGGGAGGTTTGCAGGGCCACCATGGCTCACCCTGCTCGCTTTGAGCCGATCATGATGAGATCAGTTGATGGGCAAACGAGATGCTTGGCAGTAGATGGTGGCCTTGCAATGAACAATCCGACTGCTGCAGCAATAACCCATGTTTTGCATAATAAGCAGGAGTTTCCTTTTGTGAGGGGCGTTGAGGATTTGCTTGTATTGTCATTGGGTAGCGGGCAAGAGGAGGGGAGCTATGAGTATGAGAGGGTGAGAAAGTGGAGGTTAAAAGAGTGGGCGAAGCCATTGTTGAGGATTGTTGGGGAGGGGGTCTCGGATATGGTGGATCACGCGGTTTCCATGGCGTTTGGACAGAGCAGGAGCAGTAACTATGTTCGGGTCCAGGTATGAACAAGTTCTTTTTTCATTTTATTCAAATTTTCTTCTGATACTATTTTTTTGGGTTGGTTAATTTTTAAAATTTCAAGATTTATGGAAATAGAATCATAGGGCTTGTTAATTTCTTTTTTCAATTGAAGGAAAACTGTGTTTGCCACAAAAAGTTCAGTGAGTTTTAATTTTGTGCATCCTTTGTCCAAGATATTGGGGGCTTCTTCGGCTTTTCTTGTTGAGTGCTTGTGAGCTTCCACCCCTGCAGAAATTACTTTCAGAATAACACTTGTAGATGTTTTTAATATATTTTTTAATTTCTGGGTTTTCTTAAATTTTCCATAGAATTTTAAAAAATCCCTGGTCTTTGAGCTACCCAATAGATTCTGAAAATCTACTATTGGAGAAACCTTTAAATAGCTAGAACATTGTCTTTTTAGTTTTATTGTGGTCGTTTATTTGGAATAATAACAAAGTTACACGAGAAAATAAAGAAACATCATATGTATTTCATATATCTATAGAGATTCTCTCAGTTCCTTGTGTTGTTCTTGCAAAGTTGAACTCATACTTATTGAATTTATTGCTATTCTTTATATTTTTCTCTTATGGCTTGGGAAGTTTGTAATTCATAGTTTTTGCAACTGAGATTTCCTTTTGGAATTTGAATTGGAGTAAATAGTTTCTTTCTATATCCTGATTTTCATGCAACATCATCCTCTGTTTGTTATTAGCATTCTGCTATATCTTTTATATATTATGTTCTTGAGAATTGTTCAACTTCACTATTTTCCTGATATGAGTATTTTTCTTTGATATGAAAGAAACCTTTTGGGAGAATTTTTAAAATTGCTTCTGATGACACACTTTACCATTTATCTGGTTTTGAGAAAACAGCCAATGTATCTACCGAGAGAGAGAGAAAACAGCCAAAGTATCTACCGAGAGAGAGAGAGAGAGAGAGAGAGAGAGAGAGCAGCCAAAGTATGTTATGTGAGATGCATTCATTATCCTTAGATCCAGCACACGTATTCATTATCCATAGTTCCAGCACACTTGTTTCATTTTACTTCAAGTATTTTGCTTTAGTTGGAGAAACATAAATATGTTTCGTTTAACTTGTCTAAGAGGCATTCACTCATTTGAAATTTTTCCTCATTTGGGAGAGCCGCCCTCCTAAAAGTTATAATTGACGGAAACTTGAATATATGATGCTTCAAAAACATGGCTGGATGCTTTAAAAGCAGGGTCCTACCCCTGACATAGTAGGTCACAAGGAGCAATAAGCATTAATAGCTATCCGTTTGGCAGTACTTCCTTTATTTTGTATGGTACTATAAGGTCATCCTCATATTAGGGAGAACGTTCTACCTTCATTCTTCTTATTGCAAGTCCTGTTCTGATATGATTGGAGAACTGTAATCCTTATGCAAGGCATATTCCAACATTAAGAAATGATTCAGCTTCGCTTTTGAAAACCCAATTCTTCCTAGTCATCTTCTTTTATTATTTGGGGGGTCTTTTCAGATGGTGAAATAGACTAACAGCGTCTCTCCATGCTAAAGGAAATAACCAGAGACCTTTGCAAATAAATTCACAGTTCTTTATGACCCTTTTGTGATTCTATCTGATTATGTTAATCAAATTCATTTACTTCAAATGTTAATTAGTGATGATATGTATAAATTTTTTTTTGAGCTATATTACATCTGCCTGGTAAACTCAAGTAGAATATGGCACATTTTTCAGGCAAATGGTCTGAATACGGGCAACTGTGCAGCCAACATGGATGATGATCCAGGACCCAGCAATGCGAAGAAATTGATTAAAGTTGCAGATGATATGTTGAAGCAGAAGAATGTGGAGTCTGTTCTCTTTGGGGGCAAGAGAATTGGGGAGCAATTAAATTACGAGAAGCTAGACTGGTTTGCTGGCGAACTGGTCGTGGAGCATCAGAGGAGGAGCTGCAGAATAGCTCCCACTGTTGCTTTCAAGCAAGCAACACCTAGGACCTCATCCTTTGCTACCCCTGCAAGCTCCTAAGAGATGTTCCCTACAGATCGGGTAACTCTCTCTCTCCTCTCTCTCTCTCTCTCTCTCTCTCTCTCTCTCTCGTCTCGTC